CTCCACAGCTAACCTGCTCTGGGGCAGGTTATGTTCTGGTTTAGAGATCTCAAAGCGAAATTTGACCAATCTGCTTCAAGCAAAGTGACACATGTCTGACGCAATAAAGCCACTCCCCCAGTTTCTCTTACTCCAAATTAAAGGACGCTACATAGAAAAACATTTTTAAAGATAAAATTGTCTGAATTTAGAGATTATTATTTTTTATAATTATTTTATATGATTTGTATAATTATTATACCCTTAATCCATTACACAAGCTAGCTTCATTTAATAGTAATTATTAAGCTTTTATTTTAAATTAATATAAACATATAGATAATATGCAATATAAATAAGTTTTAGAATCAATAGCTTTAAACATGACTACATATGAGCTTAGATTTTTAAGTGTTTTTATACCTATAAATATGATCAACTCTATAAACTAACTTTTCACAAGTTTTACTTGCACTTATATGTTTTCTTAAATTTTTCCTCTTTCATGGATATATCGTTTCATCTTGTAAATGTGTTTAAATTCTTCATATTGTTCCATCTTTTAATCTTTGGTAGTGAATCGCACTGACTCTCTCACGAGAAGTGAATCACAGTTTCAAGGCATGTGATTGGCTGTTCATTACTGATGTCACTCTTTCATGTGCACTTGCTCCATTAACTCAGGATCAAGCCTGAGTTGAAAGAGAAAGTTGATGATCAGCTTCGTGGTACCAACAAAGCTGGATTGGACTGGTTTGGTTTTGTCAACTCAAAACTAATCTTGTAACCCCGAGTTTGTTCAGCCACCATCATGGTACAGGCCCCAGGTTAGGTTCACAGTGTAAGTTACCATGGTAACTGACTCAGAGTATAAGTTACCTCTCTTTCAGAAACTGGCTTGACTTACCCTGCTTTCTCGGGTTTGACAAACCTTCCATTCCGAAACGGAAAACCCAGAGTTTCCCTCATTTCAGGGTTAATATACTCAGAGTTTTCACTTTCTGAAACGGGCCTCTGACGCCTAGCATTGTTCATAAGACCCTATGCAAATCACACTGCATGAACAATCCATTTATTTTCCCTTACTAACACATACTAATGCCGATTTCATTTTTAACGGGTTCTCGGCTCGTTCAAGCAAAGCTTGATACCGTTTTTTTTTTTTACAAACAAAATATCTACGCCGTTCTGCTAGTGCTGTTATCGAAAGGGGAAAAGCGTGCTTTTTAATTCACTCCGTGCATTTTGTCATTTTAAACGCAAAAGCACATATGACGCTTAGCATAGCTTACAACAAATACATACAGATTCATGCTGCATGGATCTTGCATCTCTACTAACACGTGTAAAACGCCTGTTTTGACTTCTCATGCAAGCAACGTTAGACTTTAACCTGCTGTTATTGTTCACTCGGAATGTATGTTCTCCTGATAGCTTTATTTATATGATATATATTATTCATTCCTTGTATCATATACACAACTTGTTAAAGCAGCTGTATGTAAACGTTTTTTTTACCTTGAAATGTCAGTTTAAAAATAATTCTGATTGTATTCTGACTTCTAATAAGGCGAATGGCCTCTGTTTCTTTCTCACGCTCCCATTTTGGTGACCGGATACGAAATACCGCGAAAAGAGCGGATTGCTTTACGGCAGCAACAAATGCATGTGTACAGCTATCCACTGTAATTACGACAGTGAATCCCACTCAATCAAATGTAGGGGGCTTCAAAAGTAGCAAAAATTCTCAAAACTACATACAGTTGCTTTAATATCAACCTTGTGTATGGATGCTTCATTTAGGAACTGCAAGCCAGTCTGTGATTCAGAAAAATGAAAGACCGTTGACTTATCTTAAGATGCTGATTGCTGAATTTCAGAGAACCTCTTATAGCACGCAGCAAGACTCGCTTACAGCAAACACAGAACCAACCGATTTAAACGTTAAGCAGCAATTGGCTGCAGACCAATCAGCTTGTGCCATTAAGGACCTATTAGCCTGCGAAAAAAATAAAATAAAAAAATATTAGCCTGCGCCACCTAGAGTTTCATGACTGAACTCTCTCTCTCTCTCAACTTAGTTTGAAGTCCGTAAGATTTTTAATACCTTTTTGAAGTCTCTGCATTTATTTGATCAAAATGCCAAATATTCAGATACCGCTACTAATGGTTATGCCGTGATACAAAAATTACACTGGACTTGAGTATGGGGAAACAGTGATTAGAATGGTAATTGGGACTCAAGGAAAATAATGTCATATACAAATCGCCCATGTCAGCTTTCACCCATTTACTAAACATGGAAAAAACAAAAGGGTATCAGTTTGTCAGAGGCTGTGCCTCATAAAAAAAAAAAAAAATGCTGGGAAGAAAAATACATTCTATACCCATGGGCTACGTCTTATGATTATCTATTCACAGAAGAATGTATAGCTTGAACCTCTCTCATTATGAAACCTCATGATGATTAACTGAGAAACTCTGTGTGCTACATGTTACCCAAGTACCCCACACACCTAAGCACAGGGATTACTACGGATGCTTTTATATGCAGTACAGCATATCGACTTCCAATATTTATTCAAATACATATCTCTCTCCATGATAAGGCAGCTGTTATGTAAGGTCAAGGGCTGCACTGATGGCCTCAGGTAAGAATATGTATAGTAATTTATTTGTCAAATGTCTTTAATAGACATAAAAAAAAAAAAAACTCATTTACACTATCTTGGAACAACAATCCAAGATAAAGTTGTTAAATAATCTATAACTTTTAAGTAAAAAAAAAAAAAATGCACCTCCACTAATGTCTTTAAAGCAACTTTACACTATTTTTTTTTTTTACCATAAAATATCAGTTTCAAAATCATTCTGCTGGTACACTGACTTTTAATAAGGCAAATGTATTCTTTTTCTTTCCCAATCTCCTAACAAAATCGCAAAAATACACATAACTACATACAGATGGAATATAAATATAAAAAAAAAAATTCATGAATAATACACTACTTTTAATTTTTGAAAAAAATTTGCCTAGATTATGCAACAGGTTATAAATGAAATGTTTTGACAATTTATATATTATGAATCTTGTGGGTGGCATGTGCTGCTCTTGTTTATTAGGTGAATTTTTACAAAAGATAACTGAAAGCCAAAGCAATTATTGCTGAGCCTCCATGGAAACACCGCTCTACAACACACATCACCGCACTTACAGGGATGACATCAATGTGCTTACAAAATGCATGAGAAAAAAACAGAAAACAGTCCACAAAGTGCTTAATTCACTGAGGTCAATATATGAAAATGTTACTTTTGAAAATAGATATGTTACAATACTGGTCTTTCTGCTTTATCTCACCATTCCCAAGTGGAATCAAGATTCCACCATAGAGTGTGATATATACGTGATATGTCTTACCACTATGACAACAATATTAACAAGGTTCATTTCTAACATGGACACTCCCATTAAAAAGACCAATATTATTTATCTTTCACTTATCCTCTTGTGAAATCCAGCTCACTTACGCAGAACAGTGTCATCACTTTGTTTTATTCTGTCTCTTTTGAAACAGTCAGTTTATTTGGCAAATGATCCAAGATTTACTTTGTAGACCTTTTACGAGCAGAGGTGGAGAAGCCATGGCCCGGGGGGACAGCAGTGCCTGATCCTGGATTGCAAGACACATCCCCACTTTCATAGGAAAAGCATTAACCCTTTGAGTCCTTAAAGACACAAATACAAACCTTCATGGTTGGTATCATGTACAAAATTAACAGGGTAGCTAACAGGTTGAGTAAACAAGCCACAATCTTGTTCTGCTGTAAATTGATATTGTGGGAGGTTGATGAATGAATTGAGCTTCTGGTTTGAGATCTGGTAGCACACACTGAGCCATTGTGCAGCCTACAGAAATGTAATCAGATAAACAAGAGATTAACACATAACGTGTGCCAGACCAGAGTTATGGTGTACATGCTTTAAGTCTGCATTCATCACACTGGTCATGGGTAAAGATCCCGCTTTACAGAGGGTGCCTCAGAAAGGTATAATCAAATTTTTTTTAAATATAAAAATGCATGTCTATAAGGTATAAAATCATTTACATGTATTATATCTATTAATTTACTGTATGTACAAATTGTTCTATTTATTTAAAAGCTGTTTTGCATGTTCTCTTGCACAATCCAGTGTTCACTATGCATTTTTTTGTGCAACGAATTACACATTGTACAGCATTTCAAACATTGATTTTTATTTTTGCATGCATTTTTTAATTCTGCTTTTTTGTGCTGCGTTCTTAAATGACCTGTAATTTCATGTCCAATTTCCCCCAGGCTGTCAATAAAGCACTTATCTTACCTTATATTTTATCACCTAAGTAAGGTTTATATATTCATTTAAAGCAATGCAGATTATAAAAAACAAAAATAATACATAATAGTAATTGAATACAAGGTTTTTTATAAGTCTTTTTATAAAGCAACTTATAAACTAAAAATCTGTCTTTGACTGTTTTACATTACAACGAGTGTGAATTCTCCATGAATTATGATAATACAAAATGATAATAAAAAAATTATGAAATGACCAAACTACCAAGCTTATATGCTGCACAATAAGTTTTTTTTTAAACAAATGAAAAGTATTCACAATCAGTGACTGTTCTACATCATGTTAACTGGGGCCAGTTTTTAAGGGGACAATTACATTTCCTTAAATGTATAATTTACACAAATACAGTGCATTTGTTTTATTTTTGAAAATGTACAAGTATAAAATATATTTAATAATATTTTTAACAAGATATGGTTACACTGGCCCCACCTTAATGATTGGGATGATGGGAAATGCCCCATAAATCAAAATAGTGCAGACTATTCAGATAAATGAAGCACACGTCAGGCACAATTTTGTTTGAATTATTCCTAATTGTAGTTAATGAAAATGTATTCAGCACTAATGAAACAAGTTTCTGTATTAGCATTTATTTTAAAAAAAGATTTCACAATATGTTTGACATTCTGCTGTAGAAACAAATCAAGACGACTAAGTAAATGTAGTCATTACAAAATGAGGGAAAATCCAGCTCTGTGTTCTACTGTAATAATAAACCCTAAACCATCAAACAAATATGACTTGTGTACCTTCATGCATCAATTGCCCTGTAAGAAGCCTTGTGATGAGGTAGAATATCAGCATAAATACAGAAAGAAAGGAAAGGCACTTTACAAATTACACAGCGATGAATAAGTTCCTGCGGACAAACAACAGAAAGCTAAAAACAAGATATTTCTACACAGGAAGTCGTAGGAGGAGAGACAACATATTTTCTATGTTATGACAACCCAAAGGAAATGACCCAACTGACATTGTTATTTAAAAAGATTTTGGGGCAGTATAACATGATAAAATAGGTTTGATGGATATTGAATGTATTTTAGGAATACAAATGATACATGTTCCTTGATTTAAAATATCCTAAGTTATCTTATACAAGTATAAACTACACATGCTAAGCTGGTATAAGATAATTACTTAGTGTAAACCATCATTGGAAGACTCACAAAGTGCCCTCAGAAACCAATATTGCCTCGTGCTAAGCAATAGCCCAGCTTGTTTTGGTTGCCTATGACAGACATCAGACCCACGTATGTTTCGATTAGGATAGGTTGATTCAGCACAAGAACCCCGTTGGCTTTCCCAGGTACAGGATTCTTGCTGTGGGCTTTCTGCGCTGCCAAAGTCAGCTGCTCCCTGAAGTTTTCAATCTAAACAATGAAGGCAAATATGGATAAGTAATTTATTCAGTACTAAAACACAGCAAAAACATCTTTTGAAAACTTATTTAACTCATCTCATGTTTGTCAGGTTGGCGGTTTCTGCTTGTCAAAACATTTGTGTTTACGTTTTCTCTTTTTATACCGTTCTTCATTTTTGTTGAACCTGCTGTGCACCTCAGTAGGCGGAGTGGAATGTGAGGAATGGGAATGTGACTGTGGGAGTAGACGCCTCCGAAGTCCAAATGACTGGTTATGCGATCTGTGTGGTCACCTGCATGAGACCCCCTCGCTCACACCTTGAACTAGGTACTGTACATACTTACAGGACAGCAGATTGTCCTGGACCCCATGGCCATGATGAGTGAGCCAGGGACCCAAACAAATATAATTTCAAAATTTTGGAGCTCATGCTTTTGAAAGTGATCTATCTATACATATGCTTAAAATATTACTTGGACTTTATTTCTTGTTAATTGTCTAAACTGTATTGCAATTAAATAATACGGCCTTAAATAAGTGTTTATGACTTTTTTTCTAAACCAGTGACCATTTTCATAGCCCTAAACTGTCACCGGGTCCCCGACTCCAAAAGACCAGCAAGTGCTTCATTATATTGAAAATGTATTTGTAGTGTACTTCAAATCTTTAAGTATAAGTGTAAAAATTAAGTACACTTTAAAAAATAACACTTTGTAATAATGTCAAATCTTTAAAGTACATTTTTAATGATTGTTTTATTAATGTTTTGTCGTGTACTTCACAGTACATTTGAAATTATGTTTTAGTATTTAGACTTATTCTGATATGTTGACTGATATTCTACACATGTAAAGTACTTGATTATGTAACTGTAGTGTGTTGTTCATTATTACATTTAAATGTAATAATTTTAAATGTGCAAAATTGCAACCTGATCATTACAAATTTGTATAAATACAATTTTATATCCAAATACATAACAATAGAAATGGCATTATATTATATTCATACAGTGGGTATAGAAAATAATCACCCCCCCCCCCCCTTTAAAATAATCACATTTTGTTGCTTTGCAGTCTGAAATGAAGGCGTACACAGTTTTTGTTTTATCCAGCTGTATTTACTCTATAGCATCCAAGTGAAAGATATAACACCAACATGCCAGAAAAAAAAAAAAACAGAATCACTGAGTTGGAAGAAAGATCAGCCCCCTTGTGTCAGTATTTTGTTGAACCACCTTTTGCTTTAATTACAGCCTTTAGGGTTTGTCTCCACTAACTTTGCACATCTAGACTTTGCAATATTTGCTCACTCTTCTTTGCAGAACTGCTCATGTTCAGTAAAATCTGTGGTCATTCCACAGATTTTCAATGGAGTTTAAGTCTGGGCTCTGACATGTTGGAAGGTAAACCTTATTTCCATTGACAACTTTCTGGCAGAGGGCAGCAGATTTTCCTCAAGAATTTGATGGTATTTTGCGCAATCCATTTTTTCTTCTATCCTGACAAGTGTTCCAGTGAAACTCCCCCATAACAGGATATTACCACCTCCATGCTTTACTGTAGGAATGGAGTTATTTGGATTGTGAGCTTTATTGGATTTTCTCCAGACATATCATTTGGTGTTGAGGCCAAATAATTAAATTTTAGTCTCATCTGCCTCAGAATCATCAAGGTGCGTTTGGGCAAAGCTCAGTCGTGACTGCATGTGGCCTTTCTTAAGGAGTGGCTTTTTTCTTGCAACCCTCTCATATAAGCCACATTTGTGGAGAATTTCTGATATTGTTGTCACATGCACACAATGACCACTCTTTGTCATAAATTCCTGCAGCTGCTTCATTGTTGCTGTAGACCTCTTTGTCGCCTCTCTAACCAGTTTCCTCCTGGCTCTTTCATCCAGTTTGGAGCGACGTCCTGATCCAGGGAGGGTCTGTGTTGTACCAAATACTTTCCACTTCTTAATAATAGACTTCACTGTGCTTCTAGGCAATGATTTTTTTTGCATCCATCTCCTGACTTGTGCCTGTCCACAACTTTATCCCGGAGATCTTTTGACAGTGCCTTGCCACCCATACAGTAGTTGATTGTTTGCTTCAGTTGCCTACCAAGGACTGAAATGCTCCAGGAAAGCAATTTTCATGCTGAGCTGATCAAAATGAGCACAGCTGATCACAGTTGAAAGTCAAATGGCTTTGTGTGCCATTGAGAAGGTGATTAGCTACACCTGATTGAGTTTACAAGTCATTTATAGGAGGGGGTGATCCTTTTTCCAACTCAGTGATTCTTTTATTTATTTATTTATTTCTGACAGGTTGGTGTTATATCTTTTACTTGGATGTTATAAGTTGCATTTATAAGTAAATACAGCTGGATAAAACAAAAAATGTGTACGTCTTCATATCAGGCTGCAAGGCAACAAAATGTGATCATTTTAAAAGGGGGTGATTATTTTCTATACCCACTGTATTTATAAGTATATTTTAGTTTACCATAAATACTCTTAAGCGGGTTAAGATAAACTTTTTAAGCGGGCCAAAAATCACTCTAATGTTCAGCTAATTGCATTTAACAAATTTAAATGATAAAGCATTTTCATTTAATTGCAATTCCCAAGTGTCTGAAAACATTACATTCAGTTCGCACATATTCTTTTAATGTATATTATTTCCAGACATAAATAAAAGAGAAGGTTGCTTTTATATGCATGCAAAGATGAGCTTACCTGCACACATAAAAGAAGCAGTGTTTGGTAAGCATATAGTAAAAAAAAAAAAATGGTTTTGATAATAGACTTATTTTTGCAATGGGATATACAGTAAACTATAATCATTGCCATATTTACATCTAAATTAACAACTTTCAGTGCCTGGCCTCTTAAAACCTGAATCATGAGTGTTTTTATTGGCAGGAAATGACTTAATGGCTTAATGTACACAGATAAACTACAAAATTGAATTTGAACTTGTTTAACATTCCACTGCCAATGCATCACTAAGCCCCTTTGTAAAACTAGTAAGCCTTTCATACATTAATACTTATAGTCAATAACTTAAGTCAATAGTTTTTTGTGCCATGGTTTTTGATAAGATTTATTCAGGAAATTTCTCCTGACCCCGTGGCTTTAGAATGAACGCAGTTGGAGAAACGCTGCCTTAAGTAACCTTTCCTCAGCCTCAGGTAGTCATTCTTTGAAATCTTTAACATGTAGTGAAATAAATATTACACCATCCATGAACGTGTCATTTCTTCGACTTCCAAGAAACTGTGGATTCTTACTCCACCTTTGCAAGTCCTCTAGCAGCACCTCCATAATACTTGTGAGTAAAAGCATTCGAGAATTGCTAAGTGAGCTCATATAATGGTTGGGTTTTGTCATTATTAAGTCTAATAGTTTGACTAAAACAAGACATCTTATAGAAATATGTCAAATGTACGGCATGAGACCTGACTGTGATAAAAGTGTTCTGTGTGTTGCATTATAATACTCACATCACACAGGCGGCCCAGCTCCTCATTGGCACTCTTGACAGGGTGATATGTGAATGTAGTGAAAGGATAGTCAACAGAAAACGGATTCCAACGGGAAGTGAAAGACGGTTCATTGAGTTTGTCCCAAAACACCCGCACACCCTCACCTTCTCTCCTGAAAAACACACACACATAACAAAATGCATGTATGCAGGAAAAACAATGACATAAATGATAGCATTTCTAGAGAAATACATTAAACTCTACAGGGGACTCTACTAGGGAATGCTATAGGGGTCCACAAGTTGCATGAGTTTGCTAAAGCATGCACAAAAAATCACTAAACTGTACAAAAACAGGAACAAACATATTTTGTTTCTACAGCTGCAAATCCTTACTAACAAGTGCATTATGTGCTCAGTGATTCACAATTTCATGCTTTCAATTAGGTCTGTTTGACCCCAGACCCCCCAGCTTCGCTCCCTGCCAAAACTGCCACAATTTTTCTTCAGGTTGCCTCCATTATGCACAAGCCAACGTAATGTTTGCTAAGCTTAGAGGCAATTCCCTCCGCTCATCAGATTTTCTTTTATGCCCCCTGCTTTCTCTTTTGCCATTTTAAGTAAATAGATTTTAATGAAAAGCCTAGAGGGGATGTCTTTATTTTCCAGACTGATGAAAGCTCAGAAGACAAGAGAGCGCCTGGCAGCAAACACAGGGCTTTAAAACCTCCAAGCATTCGCTCTTTGAAATGTGTTGGCACCATTCCATATTTTACAAGCATCTTTCACAATTGACTATGTACCGTTTCTCCATCAGTCATGGCATGAAAGGCTGTGATTTTTACAAGCGGTCCATACAGTTGTAGCAAGAGACTTATCAGCATTCTTCATTTAATACCAATTTGTAAGTATTGCATCATGTATTAGTGCAACAAAATAAACTGAAAAGCAGTAAAACGTCTTCAATGTTAATATGAGTTTTGGACCTGCTTATTGACCGCTTGGTTTCTATTTCCATGTTCTATTTCTTGGTTTCTATTCCCGCCCACAGTGAAATATCATTGGTCTAAAATGACGCTCCTCATAAATGTACACTCTAAAAAAAAATGGTGCTATATAGCACTAAAAGCGGTTCTTTGGCTCGTAATCATAGGGGAACCACTTTTAGTGCTATTTAGCACCTATTTTTACAGGTGCTATATAGCACCTTTGTCAAATGGTGCCATGTAGAACCATAAGAGGTGCCATATAGCACTTTTTCTCAACAATGGTGCACCAATCATAACTCATCCATGGCTCCCAGCATGCACTGCGACATGAATAAATTATGCAGCTGCATTGTATTGCTTAGTATTTTCTTTTATTCTTACTATTTGCTTTTATTTTTGTTGTGACTTTTTACTGCCCTGTTTTGTGATGTTCAAAAATATATATATTTTGTCACCATTGCTGAGATTCACATGCTGATTCTTCATGTCTATGAGTGACAGAATTGAAACCTCTTTAAAACCCATAACTCTAAAAGTCGTTTATACAGTTTTCTCACATTGTCACGTAGTATCGTAAAACTGCAATAATATAAAACTCATAAAAGAACTATATATTTTGATAAAATGCAACCAGAGACTCAGACACATGAAATTATTTTACCATAAGTTCCTTGCCATCACATATGTGCTGTATAAACATTATTGTAACAGCCAAAGATAAACTTATATTAACTTAAAATTAAAGTCAAGGGTCAAGAGGCAACTAAAGCAAACACTATTCACCAAAACGGTAAGTTGAAAAGAAAAAAAAAACATCTAAACCTTAATTCTCAATAAAGAACTTCTGTTTTAGATACTCCAGAAATAAAGTCTAACTGGTTAGTAATGTGTGAAACTGGTGATGCTGTTTGTAGAGTTGTTCAATCATCTTCTGCTGAGATCTTGAGAGATTTTCCCCAACTAAACTAAGAGACTAAGAGAGAGTTAAAGAACCTTTAAAGAACTATACAGGGGCTTACAGCTTTTACGGTAGTGGTGCTATATAGCACCTCATCGACTCCAAAGAACCGCTGAAGAACCATAAAGGGGCTTAACAGGTTCTTTATATGGTAGTGGTGCTATATAGCACCTTAACCACTCCAAAGAACCGCTGAAGAACCTTTTTTTTTAGAGTGTATATTAAAAACCGAATACGTTCTGATTGGCTGTTACTGTACCGCATCACACTGCATTTTTGCATTTTCACTAGAAACCTATTGCATCGTACCTGTTTACAATGAGGAAGTATCAAAAAACATTTCACATTTTTATTTGTTTTCAGAATGATTAGTTACCAGAGAAGTCTGGGAAATCTGAGAAATGTAACATTTCCTTAATTCAAGAGAGCTTTTAATGGAATGAGCTTGGTGTAAATTCAACTTCAGGAACTTTTCATCTTTGATGCACTCTTAAAAATAAAGGATTCAAAAGGTTTTTTTTTTTTGCAGCGATGCCATAAAAGAACCATTTTTGGTTCCCTACAGAACATTTCAGTCAATAGTTCTTAATAGTTCAGTCAATGTCAGTAAAGAACCTTTATTTTTTGAAAGTTTAGGGTTTTTAAAATGGAAGTGAAAGAAGTTATATTTCTCTACTGAAATTTGATAAACGTGTGCCTTGAGGAAAACACTTCTCGTGTGTCTCGCTGAGACTGATGTGCCCTTCAGCACAACGCCCTGGCAGTTAAACGTAACCAGTGACCTAGCGGTCCTCCTTCACTCTCTTACAGAAAGACTGGGCTCCAGGTAAAATCAACCATCTACTGTAATCACTGCACTCTAAAAAAGATGGTTCTTTAAAGGTTCGTTATGTGTAGTTATATTTAGAACCATAGCATCCTGAAGAACCCTTTTATGCTGAAATGGTTATTTGTGTTAGAGTCTAGGGTTCTTTATTCCCGCACTTTTTGTCTGTATATGTAACTGTCAAAGCTCCTCATTACTGATTTTCTGGAGCTCAGTGATCCAACTACAGTCTGTCAACACACTGTCAACAGGTAAATTATTTCTTTCTTAAAATGTCTATAATTTTTTACTTTTAAACTGTAACTGGTTTCCTACCAGTCATGTCTTTTTTTCTCTTTTTAGTTTAAGAGAACATGTAAGTGTGACCAGCTCTGTTGAGTTAAGGATATGTCTTTCCCCATCTCCACTAAGTAAGTAACAAAGATATAGAATTTATGGTCTATATTGTTAGATTATTTAATCATTTATTTATTTTATTTTTTCAATTTATTTATTACTTGGGTTTATGCATAAACATAACATTGTGAAGTGCTCACATACTACTTTTGGACTTCATAAACATAATTGTTTTTACATAAACAAATGGAAGGAGGCACATTGTAACTCTAAACTCATTTGTGCATTTCAGATGCTGTCACATCCTGCAACCTCATCATCTGCAGAGAGAAACTGCCACTCAATCACACCAAAATAC